TGTTATGCTATAATTTCTTTAAGGTTTCAAAAATTAAATATCATGTTTGATATATCTGTTCTGTATAAATGATTTATATCTTTTACTAAACAAATAGACGACTTGTATAAAAGTTATACACACAGTGGCAAACTTTGTATTGTGTTTTTGAAAATAATGACAGCAATAAATTCCTATTTTTCCTGGGTTTTCCATGATTCTGCTTTTTTTTCTGCCAATAAAATCACTTCTGCCATACACTTTTTCTAGTTTCTGGGTTTAAAAGAATGCAAAAATATAAATAATAAACAATAATATGAACTAAATGTTGCAGTTATTGTGATTGTTTTGCGGCCGGTGTCTACTGTGTGGGGCCTTGTTTGTGTCAAGGGTGCTTCAACAAACCGATTCATGAAAACACCGTCCTTGCAACCCGCAAACAGATTGAGTCAAGAAATCCACTTGCTTTTGCTCCCAAAGTGATTCGTGCCAATGATTCTATGCCTGATAGTGGGGTTAGTAGCAGATATACATTCAACCATTCAATGCTTGCCTTATCTGATGATGATTTTACATCCGTGTTTAATTAAAGAAATTTAAAGAGAAAATAGCGGAAAATGGGATATTATGTTTGATTGGTGACTTTGGAGGGAAAGTGGAAGAACTATCAACTCCCCCAAATATCCGAGAAGAATATATTTTATCCTAATTTCGTGCTGACATTTTATTTATCAATTTTTTCTACATTATGTCATTATTATTATTGTTAAAGTATTGAATGGTATATTACTCCACAACAAAAGCTATATCAAATCTATATATCGATATTTACCTGATTTTTTTTTATTTCCCCCCTTTCTCACCTATTGAACCAATCATAACATCTTTTCAAATTCTTCCCTTTTTCTCCTCTCGTTAGTGTGACTTGATGATTCATCCCCAAAGTTGAATGTGATAGTAGTCTAATTTGTTATTGTGTTGCTTTATCGTTTTATTATATTATATTAATCAATATGGAATGAAATTTGTAAGTTTGGTTCTGTAGTTGGTTTTTTCCTTTTTGGTCAAAACTCAAAACGGAACCTTAAAAACCGAACCCACCCCTAGACATAAGTAATGTTTTCTCATTTCCTATCATTGCAGGATGACTCCAATAAGACTCCTGCTTCAGCCAGACATAAAAGAGGATGTAACTGCAGGAAGTCTGGCTGCTTGAAGAAATACTGTGAATGCTTTCAGGTTCTTCTACCTCTCCCCCTCAGTAGATTCTATATGGATATGCATTTCTTTTGATAGGGACAAGTGGATAATACCTTTTTTCTTCTGTTTTGTTTAGGGTGGCGTTGGATGCTCTGTTAATTGCAGATGTGAAGGCTGCAAGAATCCATTTAGTAGAAAGGATGGTGAGTTGCTGTTGTTTGTTTTTAAAGTGCCCTTATAACAAGAACTCATGTGGATGATCTCATAGAACTATCCATTAAACCTGTCACTCTTCATCTAAAAACTAGTCTCTATCCTCTGAGAAACTCAGCATTCTGATTTTGGTTGTCGATAGCAATATAGAATTCATAATTGGACCAGGCTTAGGTTGGACACAAATGGTCCGGTTCGGTCTGTGGTTCCAGAATTGCCAGTTCTCAAATCTGGGAATAGGGGAACCTAACCAGAACCAGTTCTGGTTCGGATCTTAGGCAGTTCTAATTTGAAACTGGATTTATTATTCTTTCTTGTGCTAGAAATAAAAAAAAAAAACTGTAACGGAAGCCGCCAATTTTGGCGCCCCGCCGGATCCATATATCTACGGCTCATTTTCCTTTCCATACATCTGGTTCCTGGTTCTGAACCAAATTGTTGTCTATCCCTGATATGGATTACATTGCTTCACCACAAAGATTACATGGTCTAGCATAAGTCTTATGAACTCATATATCTCTAATATTTCAATGTGAGATACTGAGATTCTTAACCATACAACAACATTACCCCAGTTCCGTAAAGGCTCCCACCTACGGTGGGGTAAGGGGAGGGTCGGATGTACGCAGCCTTATCCCTGTACTAATACACAAAGAGATTGTTTTCGGATGACCCAGATGAAAATTGCGTCGAAAATTGCATGGACTGACGGCTGCTTCATAACAAAGTAGCGCGTCCAGTTCTGTGAGCCTTTTTGCTTTATTCCATCTCTGAATAAAAGTTGTTTATCTTTAATATTTCTATAATTTACTGCTTAAAAACAGGTTCAGAACCTGAGGTGGAAGAAAAAGATACAGCTATCATTCCTGATGGGAGTTGGCAGAAGCTTGTTATCCATACTGAAATTGAACACATTCCTGATTCTGTTCTACCTTCAACTCCAATACGATTTAAGAGGTAGGTACAATACAACAATTACATCCAAGCCTTAGTCCCAAAAGTCGAAAAATATTTCACACGTGAAAGAAATTAAGAGCCACTTGCTTAAGGCGTAAAATAAATGAACTGGTGGCTGGGTTACCTAAAGTTTTTTAAAAATGAATAAACAAAATCCAGTAAATTAAAGATACTATATATACTAAATATATTTTGATATAATAATAAAAATAGCTTCTTAAATATTTTTATTATCATTTCAAAATCTATTTGTATACTCGTATATAGTATACAAGTAATGTTCAAAATGTGATTAGTAAGTGGTGACCAAAATGGCATTTTCTAAGTGTAGTGAAATTTTATAATTTATATTGAATTGAGCTTTGATCACAAACTATTGGAGAGAGTAGAGTTGCGGCCCAAATTTTGCTTGGAATTGAACCCGTGGACTAGTGGCTACATAGTGTTATTATTATAGGACCCCCCATATAATGCTTTTCCTTTTTATTCCCAAAGCAACTCCCAGTCTCACGCACTATCTTTTTCATCATTTGTCTGTGAAGTTGGTGGTTAGGGAGGGGGGATTGGCTGATTTATAAAAAATAAAAGCTGCCAAGAAGCCCCCATGTATTGCATACATAACTTATTAGACATACATTTGTTATATTTGTACAGAGTGCCAATGCAGTCCCAGTATACCTCCAAGAACAGGCCGCCTCGGTCATCATTTCTTTCAGTTGGATCTTCATCGGGAATGGGAAAGCCAGGCTATGTTGTTCATTCTGTACCAAAGTTTGAGAAGAATCAGTTTGAGACAATCAAGGAGGATGAAATCCCAGAAATGCTTCAGTCAAACACGTCCCCAACAAGTGGGGTGAAGTCAGGATCTCCAAATAGTAAGAGGGTGACCCCCCCTGACAGTGTGTTTGGGACTTCTCCTGGACGAAGGAGTAGCCGCAAGCTGATCCTTCAATCCATCCCTACTTTTCCTTCTCTCACTCCAAATAAGTGAGTGTCAGACTTGCCCTGCATGTGGCGAAAATTTTCATGTAACTATAAGTGAGATTTTTTTCCCCTTCTCCTAGATTCCCAGCATGGGGTTATATTTGTAAAATACGGAGTTGCTTTTATTGCTCCCAGAATAACCTTGTAGTCTCGTCCTTTCAATAATGAACTTGAAGGGTGATAGTTTATCACTTGTTTATATTCAACTCAACTAACTACTGCTATTGGTATGGAAATATGGAATCCAAACCCCGTAATTTATTTGGGAGAAGAATTATGCTCCGTAATGTCAGAAATACGGGTTTGACATTTTATTTTGGTGACTATTTTAAGTATTAAAAGTGCGATTTTTCCATTTTTAATTAATTTAGTATTTTGATCCCCCGTCTTATTCAAACATTTCCAACTTTTTTGGACGTTCTATATAAAGATTGTCATTTCTATTTAAAAAATTAATTAACACTCTTAAACGAAAACTTAATAATCAAATATTAAAATAATACAGTTTTAACATTACAATTATCATTAATGACTTCGTGAAATAGGGTTTTTTACGAGAATATTACTAAAATAAAACTTATATACGCAAATATGACTATTCATTATTACAAAGTAGTGTTGTGGTAACTTAAGTTCAAAATTTGAACATGAATTACTATGATTTCATTACTACTCTAGTAATTAGTCATATTTTGGTAAATCATCTGGATTTTTTACGAGAATATTACTAAAATAAAACTTATTTACGCAAATATGAAAAATAGCCATTCTAGAGAGTACTGTGAGCCATGTTTGTTTTTTTACAACAAGGTTCGCAGAGAGGGGCTAAAAAGGGATCATCGTAAATTACATGGATGAATAACAGTGTTTACAAAAAACTAGAACAAAAATCCTATATTTACCGGGACAAAAGAGATGCACAAGCATAAATTTAAATCAAAACAATTACGCAATGAAATAACACATTGAAAAACAATGCCGTCATGACGTCATCTAGACCATGCAGTAAACTTATGTCACCTCTTATTTTCTCTAGGGATCCAGTCACTTTGGATGTAAGTGCTCATGAACTTATTCCTCGCCTATTCAAGTAAACATGGTCAATGCATGCCAGAAGCCCAGGACTTGCAGCCATGAACATGTAGTTGATGACCTCTAAGGAACCAGGAGTCCAATTGCCAATGTACACAAGATCCTGGTGATGATGCTTCAGTATAGCTAAAGGCTAGCAATGGGAAGAGAGCAACTTCTCAAACCACCTTGGATAGCGGTTTAGGGAGTTTCAACCGAAGCTTAATTTTGTAGAAGTATGATCTTTCATGTATTGCAAAGCCTTGTCTGATTTGTATTGCAGTTTGGAGGGGACAAGGTATTGCTTGAGTTTTTAATCTTGGAATGAATAATTATTATTTCTGATTTTGCCAAAAAAAATTATTAGTTCTTGTTGATAAAAAATTCTGATTCACTTTCCTTGGGGTCTATTTCGATTGAGGGTTATAGACTGGGAGACTTTGTAGGGTTTAGGTTCGGTTTTGGCTTATTATCAGATTACACAGAATAATCTGAAATGCAAGTAAGTTTTTACTTGCCAAATGTCTTCAATCTTCATTCAAAAAATTCAGCTAAACAACCTTTAGAAAATGGGCTGCTAGTCTTTAGAGAATGGGTGATTAAAATGTTGTTCCGTCAATTTCTTTTTATAAAAATCACAAATATATCTCAAAAATATAGACTACGCCACTCAAAGCCTCCATCAAACTTAACGATTCCATTGCATTTCACTTATTGAGAAGATTGTAGGAACCTCATTCTTTTTACAACAGGTAGGAAGGTAATCAAAATGCTTGTTATAGCTGTCTGTAGATACTATCATTAACCCTATATTATACATTGCCATCAGATGCTGCAACCTCAGGTGCTGCAATGCTGGCCTTGGGCCTGCAGTTGTGGAGAATGTAATTGCATGTGTTGACTGCTTCTGCCACTGTTAGATATATCCATTCCTTTCCAATTGTCTCTATCAACTTTGACTTGTCAAGCTTCTTCATAACCTCCCCACCCGGGTTTGCTAGTACAAGCTAAATCACCACAAAAACAAAACTATCATATAAATGCAGTAAATATCGAAGGTTGGCCGTGCCATGGGGTGGGAGTAGTTCAGGCATTGGTCGAATATGCTTGAGCTTGTGTCATGGGGTCATCAGCGTAATGGTAGTCTATCATTCTTAAGTTTGGTCCTTAAGTGACTGGTAAGTAACCTGGTCATGAGATTCGAACAGATGACTGGTTATATAGTTGTTCCAGGCAAATAGTTTACTAGAACTGACTTGGATGCAGTGTAGTTCATGGTGACTGTAGTAACTAGTGTGACATTCTATTTTACTATACAGTGAGTGACCCGTGATGCTTTCACCAAATCGCTGTATTAAAGTGAAAATGCCGTTATACATTTGCTTAAATATTTTATTGTAGTGATTTTTTAAAAATTTAAAATAATTCTCTAATGAGGACTTATTTGTTTTTATTTTGTGTGACGGGGATATGGTTTGGGTATTGATATTTACCTTGAGTTCTCTCATATCTAAATTCTTCTTCACTTCATCAAGCATGGTAATCCCACTTGTGTCAATGTTTCCAACCGCTGTGGTTTGACTCCAACAACATTAGTATAAAATATCTATGCAATCTGAAGGGAAGGAAATGATAAAACATTCTAACCAGTCATATCCAGGATAACATATTGGAGCTCAGCTCCGCTCATACTTTTTCTCTTCTCTTCCTCTTCATCTATCCATCTTGATATTCTAAAACCCCACCAAACCATTCAGATCTAAATTCTAATCATTATAGTTAGTGGCGATTGTAATCAAATTAGGGTGGACTTGGTCCTGTTCCAGTACCAGTGTCCAGTCCCGGAGTAGCCAAATCTGGGTCACATTGTGCGAGTGAAATCGGAACCTTAACTGTGTGTGTCGTTTCCCGTTATTGGGTTCATTCTGGTCTGGTTCTGGTTTTTCAAACCATTTTTAAATATAGAAAAATCAGAACTAGTTCCATTTGGTTTCTGGGAAAAAGAGGACCAGTCCTGATCCAGGTCCACTCTAATCAAACATGAAACCCTATTAACGTAAAATCTTAGGTTGATGCTGATGATAATTAGCTAACCATTTCATTTTAAATTATGATAATGAATCATGTACCTTTCTCTCAAATAACCCGCATTGGCGAAGTAAATGGGGCCACCAATGTGAAGGATGAGAGTCCCAGGCACACTAGCTGCTTTTGAGTACTGATCAACACTTCTGTAAGTGTTGGAATTAGGAATATTACCTAAGATCACAGTCTTAGGCCTTGCAACAAATAGTAGTACCCTTAGAAGAGACAATGCCACCTATATTTTGGTATATCAAAGGCACAGATACTTCAGTTTGTTGTTAGGAAAAGTAGTACTCTTAAAGTGTACTAACATAGTGACATAGGTACTGATTAAGGGTATATCTTATATCTCAAAATATCCACATCTTTGTTGAACCACTTTCAACTATTATGCAAGAGGTAAACACTTCTATCATCTAATAGTCTAGGTTTTGAGGTTCAGCAATATTGTAAGAATCTGTTCATGACCTTCTGTCCTTCTCTGACATTGCACATGCCGAAAACTGAAAGTAATAGAGGAACATCAATGAATGCATGACATATAAACGCATACCGCGACAATGAGGCCGATTTGTATGCTCCCGAAGACGACGCCAATGTAAGCACTGATGCAAACGAGGAAGTCGAATTTGTCAAGCTTCCATAGATGAATGGCGGCTTCATAGTCAATGAGACCAAGCATGGCTGTCATGATTATGGAGGAAAGCACCACTAGAGGTGTGTAATGGAAGAGTGGCGTGAGGAATAGGAGTGTGATCATCACTGCGATGGCCATTACTATGTTTGAGACTGATGTCTTGCATCCTGCATTGAAGTTCACTGCTGTTCTGGAAAATGGCCCTGATAGAATGCATAACATAGTTAATTAAATAAAGAATCCATGTAGCCAATAGCCTTAGGCGTCATAGTACCAACACAATTCCAATTACCAACTTAACTAAGTAAACTAAAGAGTGTTTGCAAAAACATAAAAAATGCTTTCAGTTTTTTGCTTAAAAAGGCTAAAATTGGCGTTTCAAGTGATAACTTTTACATAAATTAAACATTTTAAAGTTAAAATCTGAAAGTAGGTACAAAGGACACTTTAAATTGCTTTTTTAGCAAACATTATCAACTTTTATTTTTTGAAGTGATAATGATTTTTATAGTTGTTCTGACCCATTAATATTATTAGTAGGTAATAAATGGCGCTTGACAATTTAGAGCCCGTTTGGCGGACGTGTTTTAATTTTCGACTTATCAGCCAACTTTTTCACCAAACACGTAACTTTTGATTCCATGGACTGAAGTGTGTAATAATAAGAAAAAATAATGTCCGACTTATTTTTGTGACTGAAGTTATTATAGAGGGCAATTTTAACTATTTTTCATATGACTTTTTCTTTATTTTATTAATATAATATTTTGTAGATATTTTGTTTTACGTAAATCAGTATAATCAACCAATCCAGTCACTTCACTCAGAACTTAGAAAGTTTCAACAGAATCAGCCGATTTCGGTATTGGCAAACGGGCTCTTAGTATTTACAGTTAAATATATGATATTTATGTTTAACTATTTCCACTATTTACAGTGTTCTTGTAATTACATTTGCTATCACTTTTAATGATTACACTATCATTATTACGTAGTACTACATATTGCTCTGTGTTTTAGTTTTTTTTGGAAAAGGGTCAGATAGGTTTTCAAACTTACATAAAAAGTCAAATAAGCCCTTATATAGGAGGCTCTGTTCGGCCGTCGTCATTTGGACAGGGCCCCGGTTCCAAATGACAAATTGAGGCCCCATAAAACAAGAAAGTATACAAATTTTAACAATAAAATACAAATAGACTAGATAATTCAGTGAAATATAAGTTTTATAATGTTTAAAGTACACAAATTAGACAATCTAAAAGTTATAGATCTTTTGAAATATGGAATAATACAAAACATTAAAAAAACTCAATCTATAACTACTATTACATACTAAAGTTTGGGAGGCCCTGTAAACGAATGGGCCCCGGTGCCAAGCACCTATTGCACCTCCTATTAGACGGCCTTGCATTTGGGGCGGTTCTCGGTGGAATTTTTTGATAATTTTCTTAGCATCTTATTCATTAAGTCTAGTTTACTCATACCAAATTTTAGATAAAATTTTAATCGGGAAGACATTCAAATGAATTCTTGAAGATAAATGCACATTTAAAAGAACAATTATCTTCAAGAATTCATTTGAATGCCTTCCCGATTGAATTGTTATCTGAAATTTGATATGAGTAAACTAGACTTAATGAATAAGATACTTAAAAAATTTCATCAAAAAATTCCACCGGGAACTGCCCCAAATGGAGACGGCCGGATAGAGCCTCCCATATAAGGGCTTATTTGACCTTTTCATGTAAGTTCGAGGGCCTATTTGACCCTTTTCCCTTTTTTTTGATAATCCAGCCATCCAGGTGTCGGGGCTTACGCTCCCATAATCCTAGAGTTTATGAACTACCTCCAAAGCCCCTAGACAGTTAAGTTCGGATCTGATCACAGTCAGCCTCGTCAGTACTTGCTCCTAAAGGACGAATCCAGCAGGACTTACATCACCCGTTTTTATCCAGGCCGCTCCTCCCACTAAGCAACTCCGTGAAGGTAGGAAGAATCATTGGGAGCAAGACCTCTCTCCTCTCCCATAAGTGTTTAGCGGGTTTGAACCCGAGACCAAACGCTAGGCAAGGACCCAACGGACTGGAGCGCTCGGTTTTAGTTTATTATTCATATGCAAAGTCTATTACATTTGCATAATATTCAAAAAATAAAGATTATACGGTATGCCAAACATAGTATATTACTATAGAGAAATCATCTCATCGGGCCGGCCTGACGGGCTGTCCTGTCCGGCCGAGCCCGTTTGGGCACCTTCCCGATGAAATTTTTTGATGAAATTTTTTGAGCATGTTCCTCATCAAGTCTAGTTTGTCCATACCAAATTTCAGCTCAAAATTCGATCGGGAAGGTCGTCAAATGATTTTTGCAAGTTAACTGGTCCGGAATATGTATTTTCCGGACCAGTTAACTTGCAAAAATCATTTGATGACCTTCCCGATCGAATTTTGAGCTGAAATTTGGTATGGACAAACTAGACTTGATGAGAAACATGCTCAAAAAATTTCATCAAAAAATTCCACCGGGAAGGTGCCCAAACGGGCTCGGCCGGACGGGGCAGCCCGTCAGGCCGGCCTGATGAGAAGAGCTCTCTATTACTATATTACTATATTAGTATGTACCTGTGGTCAAGTAGCAAGAAGTGCAGGAGCCAGCTATGTTCATGACCCCAAAGGCTATCATCTCTTTGTTTCCATCTATGTGATAGTTCTTGAACATCGCAAAACTTCGCCCCACTGCTATTCCCTCCTGGATTATATATCAAAATTGTACATTTATTTGAAGGGCCCGTTTGGAATAATCTTTTGATGAACGGGAACTAGTTTATACGAGTATAAAGTGATTTCCAATATTCACTTTAGGCAAAAACGGTTCAGCCTAAACACATTTACAAAAATATAAATGTAAATGTGTATGATTAAGATAACATTATTTACAAAAATCTGATTTCTTAAGTGTAGGAATTAGTAGTAATTCAGTCACAATAATTTACATTTTGCTTACATATACTTTTGGGCTTTTGGCATACTTATAGCAAAGTTTTAGTAAATTAGTCTCATTTTAGTAAATTGTTTGAAAAAACTATATCATACTATCTCCATCACATATTGGTTATCCACTTTCAATTTGCCACGATTATTAATAAAATGATTGAAAAGTAAAAATTATGATTGAGATTTCAGTAGAATAAAGTGAAATGATAAGAACCCACATATTTATGGCTTAAAAAAGAAATAAGACATTCATTTTTAGAAGGACAATCAAAATGAGAGGGGGAGTATTTACTTTATTTATTTCATTGGCTAAACTTTACATTATTCCCTCTTTTCACTTAAATTTTGAAAGCCCACGTGAAGTCGTAAACTTATTTCTCTTGACCTTGTCCTCCGCTTGAGGAATGGCAGTACGAACGCCTGTCCAATACGGAGTATAAAAAAATGTTTTTTTTTTTGTATAAATAGAATAATCATTACTCCTATCATTTTTTTTTGAACGGAATCAACTCAATTAGCATTAATCAAATCAAAAGACAAAGCGTCGTTGATACATCTCGGGGGATTATATAACCAAATACGACAACCAGACATAGAACTAGTTACTCTAGCCAACACATGAGCAACTTTGTTCGCTGATCGTTTAATAAAAGTGAAGGTGATATTTGTAAACCCTCTACTTATAGTACGAATGTCTTCTGCCAAAATACCCACCGAAGAAAGGCTAGAACCCTTTTGAATCTCCGAAATAGCTTGAAGTGCATCCGACTCTACTTCTACGCAGTCCCATCCCTCATCTTTTATCCAACTGAGGGCCTCACGAATAGCCATAAGTTCAGCTTCTAAGGGAGAAAACCTGCCGACCCCAGACTTTGCACCAGCAGCAATGAAATCCCCTAGCTCATTCCGGACTACCAGCCAAGCCCACAGCCCACCCTTCCTTTTCCAGCGTCAACATTAAGTTTCCTCCAAATTACTCCTATCATTTTATTTACAAAAAATACGGAGTAATAACTACTCGTATCATTTGTTTACCCCATTCTCTCATACTCTTTAACCCACTTTTTTGAATCCCAAACTAATTACTTCGCATTAATCTTCTTCATTTCTTCTCTTCCATACTCTTCATTCCCTTCTCGAATGTTTCATGTCTCCCATTTTCTTTAATTTCTTCATTTTCCAAAATTTAACCCTTTGAACCAATAATCTTTTCTCTGCTCTCTAGTTTTTTCTCTCTTTCCTTCACCATTCCATTCTTATGGTCCTTTTTATCCTTCCATTAACGTCATCTTTCATTCTTCCAAAACGTTGAATTCCCAATCGCAAGGGCGCATTACGCCTCAACCAAGATTTTTGGGAGATTATAAGTCACAGTGACTCAGTCAGTCCAATGGTGGTAAATCTTGTACTCATGCGCACCAGAAGTACAATCCAACACACATGAGTTGTAATTTCCACACGACCGCTGTGACTTTTGATCCTTGGTTATTCCAACTTTCCCACAACTTAACCAACTGGACTATTTTTTCTCTTGACGTGAGTAGCTTATGTTTGTGCTTGAAAAATCACACTATTTTTACTCATATTTGAAATTTTTTTCAATTAATTACCGTAAAAAAGACGTGGATAAAAAACAATGACTACTTAGTTTTTTTTGTGAGCACCCATTGAAAATTGAGGATATTACACCAATAATATATAGATTAATCAATGCCATCATTTTACGTAGTACTCTGTATTATTGTATTACTTATTTGTATGTGCACTATCTAATTATAATATCTTAAGTGATTGATGTACGGAGTATAACATATCTCTAAGATAATTGTAGAATGTACTTATGTACTTGTATAAAAGATTTCAATATGGCAATATATTGGCAAATAAATGCATTAGGACTTACCGCCAGAGCTATGACACCCGTGACGACTCCAGCCTTTATGGCGGTTCCGATGTACGGCGAGCCAAACGCCAGCTCAGATGAAGACAGTGGATTTATCCCTTTCTTCAAATGTCCGATCTGAATTCAATTCATACAATAATGTACACAAATCTATATTACTCACCTCGTTTTAATTCTTTCTAGATTATAATCTCACTGACTTTGTGCATATCCATTTGCATAACATTATTTTAGTACTATCTTCGTCCCATAAAGGTTCTCAACTTAACGCACTATTCTTTGATCAGGTTCATACGTACTTTTGTGTTATACTTTCAAATTTTATTTTTTTAAAACATTATAAATTTTGAATGTAATTTCTGAATACATAAATTTTATTTATTAAAAGAAATGTTATTGTTGATAATGATCAATAAACTTTAAAACCAGCCAAACATTATAAACCCCGTGAGAACCTTTAAGTGCGATGGAGAAAGTACTTACTAGAATAATAATATGTTACACAATCATACCCTACAAAAAACACATGATTGATGGAGGTTTTCGGCAAAATTCATCAAAATTCATAAAGGATTTGGAAGGAACATGTCAAATTCTTGTCGAAAACATTTTGACAGGAATTATGTGCCACGAAATCATCCGTCAATCTGTGTTAATTATTTCGTGTCAATCCGCAATGTTTTTGTAGTGATAGAGACCTTTCCATAGTTTAAAATATCACCTCACCGTCCTCGCATTACTTACGAATAGCAAAATATGACACTAATACGGATCGGAGTACATCACAATATCTTCAATAATACTATCGTATAACACTCCAATAACAATAATACATACTCCCTCCGTCCCAAAATTAACTTCCCGTTCAGTTTACGATGCTTGACTGACGATAAAACAACTCGATCCCTGCTCACACTCGGATTATTTTTAGTAAATAAAATTTACATATTCAGAAACTACATTAAAACCGCTACAAAGCCTGATCAATAAAATTTAAATTTGATAAAAATTTGATATAAAAAGTAAAAGATTACGAGTGATTCAAGTTGACCAATGAATAGTGAGTGGGAAGTTATTTTTGGGACGGAGGGAGTAATTTCCGTAATGCTGTTTCTTTTATGGTAAATATGTCAAAATAGTATAACTTGTCTCCAAACATAAATAGTACGAACTACATTATTATGCATCGTGCATGGAGTAAGTTAACCATATTCTTCGGTGTTATGAATACATTTGTCATAGCTTATTTGTGACATGTAAATATTAATTGTTACAATATCTAAATGTCAAACATAATCAATAACACCAAAGAACTAAGCTAACATACTTTGTAGTGTCCAGTACATAATGATATATATAGCTAGCCTTTTTGTTACCATTAAAATATTGATGCAATATTTTGACACTTTTTGTAAAAGAAATTAAGCTTCGTTTCTATGGTATCAATTTGGCGTTAGATCGATTTAAATTTTAATAATAATGATTGATCACATTAATTATTTCAATGAGGGTAAAATAAGGTGAATTTGTGATGGGTGAAATTTATTTTACCACTTGGACACCATGCTTTTCAGCGTGGGTGAAGTAAACTAAGACGCTGCCCAGCACGACGGACGTTAGAGGCGCCATGGCATTTATCCAAAAGAATGCTGCTTTCCTTTTGCTCTGTTCAAATTGGAAATGAAACATGTTGTTTAATTTGAAATGCTTAAATTTGTAATGCATCAATTAGTAATAATATGCGGATCTTTGGAAATTATCAATTAAGAATGCTTTCACTTACAAAGTATTTCGTCAGCATGAGGAAGAAGAGGAAACAGCATCCTAGAACTCCACTTTCCCATCTCCACTGTACGGATTAACACATCATTTTAAGAATAATGAATGAATATGACATCATTTTTTTTAATGAATTTCACAATATAATTTTAGAGAGTGTTATACTATGTAGTATTTGCGCCACACCACACCAGAACGAACATTATACAATAATAAAACACTAAATAAAATTGGTTCTGTGCTACTCTTCCTATGAGGTTGATCGCATAGAACTCGAGTCTTAACATGATATCCGGACCAACTCTGATTATGGTTTGATTATTTGTTTAACATCAATGATTAATGTTAGCTTGTTAAGAGATTGTTTGACTCATTTATATACTATGATATTATTCGATTTGATTTGGGCTAACGGTACGTGTTAAAGTATTTGTCTAACATAAGAGTGAATGCTATAGAATAATACTCGTAAAACATTAAAACTTTAGACTACTTCCCGTATCACGTTAACTTTTTAGGAGGAAACCACATATTTTAGGAAAGTAAAGAAGATAATGATTAATGAGAAAGATGGAACCTGATGAGTTTGAGAAAAAATGGAACGAACGACAGAGACAAAGTCAGTGGCATGTGTGAAGTGAACCAATCCAAGTATCCCTTTCAGCTGCTGCAGGCACACCACTGTTGCTGCCCCTCCCATGAATCCCAAAATTGTTGCATGCGACAGAAAATCCACTATCATTCCCAGCCTGGCCGCCCATTTTACAAACACATTTCATCAATCTTCACTATCCTACTATTCATACCACTAATTTTACTCTTGCAAATTCGGTTGACAATGACGAATGTATTAAAAACAAAATTATGTTACAAACATCTTCCTTTACTAAGACTAAGGGTCTATGAATAAAATATATGGAGTACGCCATTGGTGTTATAAACGGCTCGAATTCTCTTACATTTTGGATGGGTACATTTTAGATGGGTAAATTATTGCTTAAATTCCTAAATAAGAGTAGGTATGTGACAGATATATGGGCATAGGGGCGGGACGGACTACCTCTTTGAACTTTCAAATACTTTTACATTAATGCACATATATAATATATCCACATATGCACATAATATGTAATTAAATACTCCGTACAATATATATAGTCCTAAATTCAAAATAAGTAGCGAACCTTAGTTTTAAAAATAAATATAATTCCTTAACCACAAATGCTAGATCAGTTGGTGTTCAAATGCAACCAATTTAACGTGCATTGGGCGCCATGTTTAAATTCCCTTGGCTTGAAAAGAAGTTTTCATTTGTGTTTTTCGAATTCCCCTAAAATGATGGCCTCTTTTTATAATAAGTTTTTTTAATAGATCGAAAATGTCATGATGATTCCACATTTGGTCTCTTTTTGGAATGTTCCAAAAAATTCTTCCAATTTCCCTTTTCGTAAAGGTTTGTGAGACTACTATTCATTTACATTTTTCTTACTCAAGCATAACATTCTATTTTCAATTTATTCTCACTTTCTTAAACTCCGATCCAAGTATTAGATTTGACATGAAATAAGAGTATACCACCGACGGAGTACGTAGTTTTGTTTTCCAGTTCCAATTCTTGGTTGTTTATGTGATTATGTCATTTCCAAGTCTACTGATATATACCACTTGCAAAGTTGCAAGTTGCCAAAGTAACTACATGGCGCCCAATGCACGTTAAATTGGTTGCATTTAAACACCAACTGATCTAGCATTTGTGGTTAAGGAATTATATTTATTTTTAAAACTAAGGTTCGCTACTTATTTTGAATTTAGGACTATATATTGTACGGACTATTATGTGCATATGTGGATATGTTATGTGCATTAATGTCAAAGTATTTGAAAGTTCAAAGAGGTAGTCCGTCCCGCCCCTATGCCCATAAATCTGTCACATACCTATTCTTATTTAGGAATTTAAGCAATAATTTACTCCTATTAAGACAATAATCCTTATTTGTTCCAAAACCCTTGTCAATTTTGATTTCACGTACTGAATAATGTAATAATAAAAATAAATAAGGTAGAGGTATCTTTTTGGTTGAATTAACGGAAGTTATTATAGAGGGTTTTTAGGTATTTTCAAATAATTTTCTTTATATTATTAATAAAATATAATTTAAGTACAATTTTTTCATAGATTCACCCACTTTTAATGAGAACTTTAAATCATACGATAGTATACTATAACTATTTTCATTAATCCGATAGTCTTAAAATCAACTTCTTATAATTTTATCTTCTGACAATCAAGGTTGTAGAAGTTTAAGGAGCGAGGAGTATATTAACTATAAAGTCGGCTTCGTGCGGAACTTTTGAGATTAATGGTTTGGATAACCAATACTTTTCGTCACACGTCTAAATGTAGGAAAGTATTGGATAGTTCTTCGGATTCATGTATTGGTTTTACTATTTTCCAGAAGATTATGGATAAGAAAAAATGAACTAGAATTAAATGATCCAAAACGTCATTTTAATACTTCTTTGTTCACTATCCCCTTACAATCTTCCAAATGTCACTGTTGCCAGAAGACGCCAAAAGCAAAATTAAATGTATAAATATTACTTTGTTTATAGTACGTATGTACTAAAGCAACTTCATTTTATACCCCAATTTGTACTCTGCCTTATGTTGGAAGATAAAATTAACACAAAGAGGGTTCAATTCCATAATAATTCCATTACAATAATAGAGTGAGAATGAAATACATAAGCAAATATATATACTCCGTAAGTAGCTGGTACTCCCTCCGCCCCATTCAACTCTTTTGATTGTCCATAATGTTTTGTCATGTTTCCTTTAAAGTGACTAGTTTAGGATTTTGCTTATTATAATTATCTTCTCTACACAAACTTCAACAATATAACTTTTACTTTTCTTACTTCTTACCTAATTTATTTGAAGTAGTCAATTAAAGTGCACTGGAATGAAAGTAATACATTGCAAGTATGGACAAACTAGACTTGATGAGGAACATACTCAAAAAAAATTTATTAAAAAATTCCACCAGGAAGTGCTCCAAATGGCCATGTTCGGACACTGTTCGGACCGGGGTTGCTGGACAGGATCATTTCTCACACATTGCAAGTAATTAAGTAAAGCATAATTAGTAAGTAATTATTACCTCAAGAGACCTAAAGAGGCTTGGAGAAGGCCGGCAAAGAAAGTAGCAGTGAGAATTAATTGAACGTAGAGGGTGGGATTAAGCTTGGGGTTAACTTCCTGTCCTAACATGGCAGCCAATAGAAGGGATGGGACCGCCACAGTGCCAATCGCCAAATCTCTTGAACTTCCCAGCATCGCGTACACCATAGGTGGCACAAAGCTGGAATCTGCATTATTATTATTTTACAATTCGTATACTTTGTCAACGTTTATCAGTCGGTCCCAAACATTTGTCACATCATACATATGTGTATATATTTCTGCTTAAATAAAAGCTTGCTTTTATTGGCTATTAAAATAAGAAATTAAATAAATTCTGATTAATACACATTAAGTAAAAAATGAGGGTTTATTTTTAATAGGAGATGGTGACTGGTGAGGACTGTAGTAATTTTTTCATAAAAGTAAAATTTTGATCAATTTCAACAACAGTATCGACATATTGATTGTTTATACCGCCACTTCCCATTTAAAAGTTCTCTGAATATTTATTATGGTTATTGGTTAATTAACCGTACCGTTGATTAAGGTAGTTCTTCCCAAATAGCATGCACTACACAAAAAACACGGAACTTGGCACGGATAATCGATTTTTCGTGCCAAATAACTCGATCCAAAGTGTTTTTGACACAAATTTGACATCATACCTGCCAAAATCCCGTGTTTTTTTGGTAGTGATGTAAAAAGTATTTAATACTACGTATTAATCGTCAAAACATACAGATATGTATACGTAGTAATTGAAAACTACACGAGAAGTCTTATTAAACTGCAAAAATTGAATTCGAAAATGATAAATAACAATCATGTAAAATTAGTTATTTAAAGATCAGTTGCAAAATCATTAATAATTACACCAACGAAATTAAAAATTGTGAAAGATGAGAGTCAAATGTTTTTAGGCACCAAGTCATATCACTAAAAAAATGGGGTCAAAAAGTAAATTTTCCCAATCATGAATCACTACCAGAGTATGACCTTGTTTGGTAAATGGCTGTTAGCTATTGCTGTTAGCTGGTTGTGTCAGCTGTTTCCTAACAACTGGTTGTGTTAGCTGTATTGACCAGTTGGTTATGTTAGCTGATTATAAATAACTGTTTGGTAAAATTGGCTGTTTCGAAATGGCTGATAGTGTAAATTGAACCAGCCGAATGAACAAGTTGCTCCCCTTAGCTTCTTCAACAATCAATTTTTTCAGCTTTTCAAACTCAACAAGCTAATTTTATAAGCCATTTACCAAACATTATTATTAGCTTCTTTGACTAATCAAAGAGCTAAAATGGGTTAAACAAGCTAAAAGCTGGCTGATAAGCCATTTGCCAAACATGCCCTACTCTCACAAAATATTCTAATCACGGTTCTTTGAAAGATAATGACTTAACATACGATAGCAAACAAAAAGTGTGTCCAACACACAAGAATGATATTAGCAAATACTATAAGTGATCGACTATGATAATGTTTAGTTTTACAGTGTAATGATTGATGTCGTTAATTATGTTTATATTAACTCTAATCTCATTTTGTGACATAATTTCAGTTTTGAACGTAGTAATATTTTAGTAAAAAAGAAACTCATAATGTTTCAATTTGATTTACGTTCTTTATAAGTACTCCACATAGTATATAGGGGGTGTAAATAGATGTTTGAGACTAGTATTTTTGGACGAAAACGACGAGATTTTTGAGTTGGTGTTTTGAAAAAAGGCGATTCTACTAATTTTATGGTCAAACAGCAAACTTACTAAACGTTTTCAAAAAACCTCTCACCGGTGGGCGTAGCTCAACTGGTAACAAGGGAGTGTCACATGGGTTAGGTCTCGAGTTCGAATCCCGCAACTGCGATGAGGGGTTACTATGCTGAAAAATGCATAGGGCCTCTGCAAGTACCGGGGACAGAGCCTCACTCTCTATGTGTCAGATTGTGATTATAGTCCAATTTACATCCTCCCATCGTGCCGTCCGGTCGGTGGTGGGGGCCCTCAGGGATGGGGTGTCATCCTTTTTTTTTCTTCCAAAAAACCTCTCAATTATTCCGCTAATTAAATCCCCTAACCAAATCTGCCATTAACAAGCCATTAATATAACCCGCCCGCTAACCGATGAATGTCAAACACACGTATCTTTAAAACATTGCGTTATCTTTAAAACAGCGTAAATGGTAACTACATATGGATAATGGATACGTTATGCACTAAATACGGAGTATATCATTTTGGTTTTATATGGACATGTAATTAAGTTGGCTTACACAATCCATAGATGGGAGGAATATTTGCCAAACCGGCGTAGCTTATCCCCTGAGGAACGGCGAGGCTGGCGATGGTGACTCCGGCGACGACGTCCGCCCTGAAGGACTTGAAATTGTAGCGCGGGCCCCACTCGAGAATGGGAATGAAATACTGCAACCCCATCACAAGCTTTCTGGGGAGGGGCTGATTTTTGAATTGCCGGAACGGGTCGTCGGGGAAGAGGGTCTCTTTCACGGTGGACTCGACGACTTTGTAGAAAGGTTTTGGCGGTGGGGTTTCCACCTCCCCACGGCGGCGCTGCTGCCACTCATAGTCGGCGTTGCCCATGTTTTTATTGTATCAGAAACGGAGTTTTATATTCGTAACATGGGTAAGTGGCGGAGTATCTATTTATACTCCGAATTATTATTGCTCCTTTCCTTTTTAGTTTTATCCCATTTAACTTTGACCAACACTAATTTTAGTTAGTTGACTATTTATAAAAACATTTTTCCCAAAATTTCTAATTCCCTTTTAAAACAAATTTAATAATGTTTATATACTTCATTCATCCGTTCTTTTTTAGTTGCAAGGTTCCAATTTTCACATTTGCACAAGTCTGACTATTAATATCTTCACTCATTATTACTTATAAACAATAAAAAATGGATTTTGAAAGTTTAAAATGATAGAAATCTAACACTGTTTTCCAAAATTTATTTTACATAGTTATAGTTTAATACATAATGTAGTCAAAGTAAAGCATGTGAACATTATAAATTCACCAATATTGCAACTAAAAGAGAACATGGGATTATGATGTACTCCGTAATTAATAATTAATAATTTTTAAATAAATGATAAGTTGAATGATAAAAATAGAGATTTTCTTAAGACTAAGAGCCCGTTTGGTAACATTAAAATTAGTTTATTCGGTTTATGCTGTTGAAGTTGATTCGGCTAACTCTTTTGAATAATGAAAAAAAATTAAAATATACGGAGTATTTTATTAATGAAATAGATAAAAAAAATTAGATGAAAAATAACTAAAATGATTCTATGCAGTAACTTCAGTCCGAAAAAGTAACTTTGACCTTATTTATTTTTATTATGACACGATTCAAAGTTTTTATTCTGACACGACTTAGGGGGTGTTTGGAACTGATTCTGCTTCTGCTTCAGGATCAGTTTTCAGAAGCCGGTACCTCCCAGTTTCTAAAAAAAAGCCAATTCTGAGAGTAAGGGTATGTTTGGCACAACTAGCTAAAAAGATACTTTTGTGAGCTTTTTAGTAACTATTAGCTTTTAGTGACTGAAAAGATCTTATAAGGAGAATATGGTAGCTGTTTGGTAAAAAGCTGACTGTTTGATTTAGTTCTGTTTGGTATACAAGCTGTTAGGATGAAATAATACTAAAAGTCGCGGACTTTTCTCAGATGCTACCCCATGTAGCATCTCAAAAAAGATTTTTTAATTTTTGAAAAGCTCTTAAAAATTGTCATGCCAAACATACAACTAGAAGCTTTTAGAGACTTTTTAAATAGTACAAAAGCTAGAAGGCAAAGACTTATGTCTGCCAAACATGCTCTAAATTAGAGCTCCAGAAGTGCTTCTGGAATTTCACTCAAACACTCCAGCTTCTGCTTCTACTCCCTGAAGGAGCAAAATCAGTTTTGAGAATCAGATCCTAACACCCCTCACCCCTAATGTATAAAATGAAAAATTACATATTTGGAGAAAAAAGTTAATTGATAAAGTTGATAATAGTTTGAAAAAATAAAGTTATGAAACGGTTCTAAAAAGGAAAACTGATTCTAAAGTCGTGCATGAAGAGTTCATAAAAACCGTCTCACTTTTCGATAACATGATATACTCGAAAAAAGGAAGTTTTTTAATCTTTCAAACTCATCTTTCTAGTTTGCTACCGGTTGGTTACTGGCTATATTAGTAATACTGTTTTTTTGTTTAGCTATGGGAAATAAAAAAGAAAGAGAAATGCAACCTCGAATTAACAGGGATCAATAAATTATACGGAGTATAAGATGAGTTGGAAAGGATGAGTTTTCTTTAGATTATAAAAACATGAAAATAATCTGAGTCTATTAATTTTAGTGAAGTTGAAAATTTGAGAATCAATATTCGAAAAATGAAAGAGCTCACGAGTAATTATACGGTTGACACAATTCAACTAATCGAAAATATAGTTTTGCTTGTAATAAATCTTTGTTTTCAATACAAAAAGTTTCTTAAAAGAATATTATTCTAGCTATTTTGATAAATGTTTGCTATATTTGATGTATTCATGTTAAATATTCGAAGTAACAAGCTATTGGGGAATTGAGAAGTTATTGAGTCTATCTGACTTTTTTTATTCATGTTAAAAGCAATAAACTTTTCATCAAAAGACAAAAACCACTCTAATTAGATGCTAAAAAAATTATTTATATGAAAAATTATATCATCTAGGTCGAATTTGTTTGAAAGGATCTAGGTCGATTATTTTAGAAAGTAGAATGATCTAGGTCGATTATGGGTGCAAAGGTTAGACGGGATCTGGATAATACTTGTGATTTTTTTTGCCGGTTCACATTAATGAATTGCTATGGATTGTATATAGGGAAAACTATCAAATAAGCCTCTGTACGGCTGTACTATACCGAAAAACTCGATTAAACCCTCGTACTTTACAAACACTTAATTAGGTCTTCGAACTATTAAAAAACGTTCAATTAAGCCCTTTCGGTCGGTAAGTAATCGGTTTCCCGGTTGAATGTAACTCGTTTCCCAGCAGCCGCCGTTGCTGGGGTTCAAGCACATCGTCGCCGCCGCCGCCGTTTAACCGGTAAACCGGTTACTTATCGATCAAAAGGGCTTAATTGAACGTTTTTTAATAGCTCGAGGACTTAATTGAGTGTTTGTAAAGTACGAGGGTCGAATTGACTTTTTCGGCATAGTACAGGGGCTTATTTGATAGTTTTCCCTTGTATATATATATAGACATAATACAAAAATCTGGAGAATTGGCTCTGTGCCTGAAGTGCGATTCACATGACTAAATAGTAGGTCTGAGGATTCGGACGGTCGGTCAAATAACAGTCACCTAACCGAATAATTGATCAAACCTTTTCACCCTAATGACCGACCAAAATGATGGATAACATCACAATAACTCACCAAAAAATTGTAGTTCGATTTCGGTTAGAAACCGAATAATCAACAATAACCAATCATTTAAATTTTGAAGTCTATGTGTTTCAAAATTCTCATTGCTTTAAATAAACATATTAGAAAAAACAATTGATACAAAAATGGATGAAAATACTGGAATTTTTACACTACAAAACAAAATGAATGAAATAATTGATCATATATAAAATGTTTTTGCTACATGAATGGAAAAGTAAGAGGATCTAGATCACATTATCTCACAATAAATTTTGATTTAATTCTTACGCTATTGGTAGTTTTTTCTTGTGTATCAGTGTCGTTATATTTTATCTCTTTTGGGCCAACCACTAAATGGTAAATATGTGAGGTTTATTAGAACACGTGGACTACATATAGATGGAACTGTGACTAAAGTTACTATGAATATACTATCATGATTGTTATAATATAAAATTGAAAACATTCATGCTCATTAAAATTAGTACTACCTCCGTCTCATTTTATGTGTCTCGTTTGACTTTGGCATAATTATTAATAAAGTGGTTGAATATGTAAATGTTGTGGTTGAAATTTGAGTATAATAAATTGAAATGATATGTACCACATATTTATTTTCAGAAAGGGAAATGTGACACTTATTTGAGACAACTCAGAAAAGAAAATAAGACAGTAAAATGAGACAGATGAAGTATTATTTATAGTCACTAAAGTATAATTAAAAATCACATTTGTATCAATTGCATTCATTTTGGTAATATATTTTGCATTATTTCTTAGAGTAATTGTGATATTTTATGAAGTGAAACATCATAACATACATGGGATACATACATATTTTTATATGGTGTAATTTTGAAAAACATTGTTGGATTAATAAATAATGTGGTCGTAATCAGCTGGAACCATCAAACGCATAGGATCTCAACCCAATTCCGATAAATACTCCCTCCGTCCCAGAATTAACTTCGGTTTTGACTGGGCACAGACATTAAGAAAGTGGGAAATGTGTGGTGGAGAGTTGTGCAGAGGAGAGAGAAATGTGTAAGAATGGTTGTGAACCACAAATCCTTTGCTAAAAAGGGAAAGAGGAGATAATTTTGGGACGGACCAAAAAGGAAAGAATGAAGATAATTATGGGACGGAGGGAGTATTACTTAACCTCGACTTTCGACTCTCGAGTGGACTCTGCCAGAATAGACCCTTTTTTAAAGTGAATCTCAACCCTTTTTTTGATATGGTGAAAGAATGTACTAGATTTTTTTAAACCTAGCTGAAGAGGAGGATTTCATATGCTTAGTGAAAAGTATACTTTTGATTTTGAAAGCATGAACCATCCATACGCCCTCTTTTATTTCATTGGAATTGCTCTAATTACTATTAATCTTCATTGGTGAGGCAATTTTATACTCCATAGCTTCAGTAATTGGTAGACTTCTGAAAACAAATGAACACGCTTCAGCCAAATTCAGATCAAATACAGTTAGATCTACTCTGAAATTTAGATCAAATACAGTTAGATCTTGTGAATTAATCACTGTAGTTGTTTATATGCACCCCAAGTTCTAAACTTATTGTTTATAGGGTTGCTCCCTTATCACGTAATGCACTCAACCTCTAGCATTAATTTTATCCTAGAACGTTTATCACACACTTCTCAGATTCATCACACGTAAGTCCTAAAAGGTCTTTTCCCTCTAATTTTGTGTGTTAACTGTCATTCCTTTACAAGCCAAGTAATTAGAAAAACTTTTCTTACTTGCGACCAAGTCTCCTCTTTTGATATTTCTCCATAGATACACAGTTCTTTTCAGTAAGATCCATGTACTAATTGCTCATGGAGGTGAAGACGACGGTGTTGTAACTTATATTTGTAATTGTTTTACACCTCAATGGCTCTATCCGTTTTGTCCGAAATTGTAAGGTGTAACTTATCCTTTTGCCTCAAATTGTCGTGAATAGTATTTCAATAGTTGATCCTTCAATTCAATAGTTTAACCTAGTTCATTTGATTTTGGTTTACTAGTAAGCAGTCACCATCTAACTATATGTATTACCTTTTAATTTAATAATGATTTTTTAATGCCAGACTATTATAGTGTATGCTTTGTAATCTCTTTTAGTAATACAATTAGGCCAATAATCATCTTAGTTGTAATCAGGGGTGTAGACAGGGGGTGGCCAACCCTGGCCATGACCCAGCCCAAATTTAAAAAATGTCTAAATTTTTAAGGTAAAAAATTCCGTGTAAAATTTTTTCCAAAAATATTCTTTGTAGCGGCCCAGTGCC